TAGTGCTAATGCAGTAACCCATTTAAAGGCCTATCATACTTCCTTTTAGAGATAATTGATGATAATGAGGCATGAAATAATCCACTTGAATAACTGGTAGAGAAGTTTTGGTTTCTTTTTTTGGAAAATAAAACTCCCAAACTTGATCATGTGTGAAAGCAAAGTCAGACATTTCAAAGAAAGGAATTGATAAAATAATAATAACAATAACATTTTGTCATGAAACTATCCAAACAGAGGGTGTTAGACAAGGAAACATAATTGAGATTCATGTTTATTATTCCCTTGGTCCAGCCCTAATGGATTCATGAGGATTGACTATAATGAACAAACAGTGGTTCTGATGAATGAGTTTATTGGTTAATTCATAAAACATATGGCAAGCTTCTTCTGCCAGAATATTTGGGCAAGGGAAAAGCAAATTAAAAATCAAGAAAAAAAATAAATTATATGATAGAAAAATAATGTTTTGAAGTAGACCATAAAGATCCACTAATCAGGATTTTATTGATTTGGAAAAGAGAAAATCCCAGTTCTATTCTAGGCACATCTGCAAACAGCTAAGCTCAAATTGGAGATGAAGAGTATATTGTCACTGAAACTCAGTGTATGTTGTTCCTAAGTCTCACACCCTTCTGTAATTGATAACAATTTTTCTCTGTAAAGTTCATGCTAAACAGTTATACAGGGGAAACATATAATACATTAATCCCCTAGGTAGGCTTAGGCTGTGCTGTCATATAACACTCAATTCACAATGGTTTAACTTGATAAACATTTATTTCTGCCTCACACAAAATGTACTGCTAGTCCAGGTGATCTTCTGAAGTAGCCTCTTTGATTTTGTTCTACTTTAATTGCAACATGTTAACATGGCTGTTAGACTTCAACAGAAAAGAAGATGCTGGTGGTGTTCCTCTACCAACAGTTAAATACTGTAGCCCTGATGTCTAAGAAGGGACTTGGAACCATCACCATAACACAAAAGCATTATAGGACTGCAGTCACCCCATACCACCAAAATCCAGACTATAGTCAACTCTCTCCTTGCTTTATGTCTTCCTCTATTCTGAAGTACAGTACATTTTTGACAGAAGAGTATCATAAAAGGAGGCACCTTGAATGGATGCCCAGGTGCACCAATTCCCAATTAAACAAGTTATTTGACTTCTTATAGACTGGCAAGATTAGAAGAAATAATCTGTGAGAAGTGGTTATCATTGAATAATTGTGCAGTAAGTGCTTGGCCATCCCAAAAGATGCAGTCATGATCAAAGGTGTGTTTGCTGCCCATCTCAAATCTTCTCTCTCTCACTGAGAAATACCTATGAGCCAGAAACTGAGCAGCACTAGCCAGGAAGGGCTTAACTGGGGAACAAAATGTGTCTGCATCTTAGGTCTCTATGTAAAGACTATAAATTGCCTGTGTCACTAGAATGCACGTTGTTTCTGATCCCTTTAATTGCTGCCCAGTAAATGGGCTTCAGCAAGAACTCTGAAAGCTCCATGGAAATAATACTGATAGAGTAGAGAATAGGAAACCTAGTTTTCCAGGGCTGTTTCAAAGCTGGTTTAAATTTACTTTGGAATGTAAATAATGGTTTGTATAAGTCCTATAAATAAAGCAAATGTAACATTTGACTCAAAAGCATACTTTGTCTTTTAAAGTTGCTTTCAGGACAGGTGAAAATGTAATTCTACTTAAACTACTTAAATTGTGTAATTCTACACAAATTTTTTGAATTTATGCAAAATAATAATAAACAAAATTTTTCACATTCGAACAAGATTCAGGATAGAATGTATGTAAATAGCGTACTTTTACCTGCATTTTAAAGTAATCTGGTTTGCCAAAAACTTTTCAAGAATACAACACTAACTGTAAAAGCCTGGATGATCAATAAGAGACACCACTCATTCCTCTTCTTCCTATCTTCAGCTCTTCCAAAAGAATCATGTCAATATCCAGGGAAGCATATTCATAGAAATTTGAATTATTATGATTTTCTCTCTCAGAGAAGTAGAAAATTTTTATTTTCAGAGCTTCTATATTATTCAAAATATACACCTTTTCACAAAAATATGAGATAAGCTAAGAAAAAATAAAGTTCCCTTACATATGAATGAAAGCAATCACTAGAAACTGTCCTTGAAAATCTGTATTAGATTCATTAGACAAAGATGTCAAGACAGCTATTTTAATATGTTTAAAGAATTACCATACTTTTAGAGTTTTGAGAAATCTTCATACTGATTTCCATAATGGTTTTACTAGTTTACATTGCCAGTAACAATGTAGAAGGGTTCTTTTTTCTCCTCCTGCAGTCTTGTCAGCATTTGTGATTATTTGACTTCTTGACGATGGCTGTACTCTGGGGTAACATGCAATCTCAGTGTTGTCTTAATTTGCATTTCTCTAATGGCCAGAGATGTTGAACATTTTTTCATGTATTTACTGGCCATTTCAAATTCTTCTGTAAGGTGCCTATTCATTTCTCACCCATTTTTTTGATCAGGTCGTTTATGTTTTTGCATTTTATTGGCTTTTGTTAAGAATAAAAATTTGAACAAACACTCTAAAGGACACTTCCTCTGAAAATAATTGCTTGATATTTTCAATAGTGCAATTACAGCTCATCCACTGTTTTCTAGAAGCAACTCTTCACATAGAAAATGTTTTAAAGAATGGTGATATTGAATGTTGAGATTTACCAAGTAACAAGATGAGGCACAAAAAAAGAATTGCTTAACATGGTATTTTATGGAACTTTCATTTTTTTCTTTCAACATTCCTTTCTTTCATACATAGTTCTTTTTTTAGCACAGGTCTATAGTCAAAGGCTACTGGTTAATGATTAAACTGCTGTCCTGATTATTTTTCAAGTTAATTTTGTACTGGAATATTACATGTTGAAAAATAAAATCCTTGGATACTGCACATTGACTATGATACAATATATATTCTAAATGTCCCCCATTTGAGTAGGAAAGTCTAGTATATTTTAAGTGAGGTTTTTCTTCTGTTTAATTTTTATTGAGAGGCTTAAATAACACATAATTTTTTCTACCTGTACAAATGATGCTGCCAGTGTCTTAATTTACCAATAAAAATTAGGTACTGATTAAGACACCAACTTAAAATACAAAAGTGCTATGATCCTTCCTGAACATTCAAATTACATAAAAGAATCTTAAGGTAAAGCTATGGCTCTTTGTGAAATAGGTCCTATCTATAGTATTATAAAAGTATTTCAAAAGATGGTTTCAGTTAAAGATCATAGTCATTAGAAATATGCCATTTGTTTTCTAGGAACCTGACAGTAATTACGTGGTTACCAGTTATAGAATGTTTCATTTCTTGAAAAAGGCAATTGAGAGGCTTGTGGTCAAATTTGCTTAGACCCACCCAGCAACTCAGTGGCAGTTTGAAAGTTGTGATTCTTTAATTCCCAGGCTGATTCTAATGCGGCAGGATAACAAGGCCTTTATAATGGAGCTTATAAAAGCACATTTTATGTGAGGCGACTAGTTAGAAAAAATGTGACCTTTCAAATTATATCACCATTTTCCACATAAAAGCAGCGGCCAACCTCTTAATTCATGCGACCTTTGGAAGCCATAAAATCACTTCCCAGATAGAGTTGATGTAGGTTTGATTGGGGGGCTGTTCTTTCTGACCCAGAGTGGGCAGAAGCCAGCCATCCACAGCACAACCTGGGGGAACACTGATATTCAGGGAGAAATGCTGAGAAGTCATCTGATCTCAGCAATGAATTACTAAAGACAAAGGTAGTTATACTAACTAGAGGTTTGATCTTTGCCTCTTCATTGCAGACAAAGAAAGCCTTTAGACTTGCCAACTGTCTGGAGAGGAATATTTCACAGATGTTAACAAACATAGAGCCTCATAAACATAAGTGCTAGGAATATATATGCATCAAAATTAAAGTCATCAGAAAAATTTTATAAATTTATTGGAATGTCTGTCTATTAGCAAAATAGTTTTATGTTAGAACTTAGTGAATGGGTGAAGCAGAGGAAAGAACACAGAATTTAAAAACAATGTACAATACCTTTATATCTTGTTTTAAGCATAAAGCCATTTTTATACTATATCTGCATTGTAGCAAATATCAAAGAATTGACTGAATGGAAAAATACAACTAAAATTTTTTAATTTTGTGCTCAGCACTTTTTTTTTCAATGTATACATTTATGTACCTAGGTGAGAGCTCATTTTAAATATGCTACTTATGTTCACAAAACAAAATATTAATATTTCCCCCATATAATTAAAAATACTATGAAAATATCATCTTAAAGTGTTACATATCAAAATGTAAATTTATAAATTTATAAATTTTAATAAATAAATTTTAATAAATAAATTTATTGAAATGTTCCACTATTCATAAACATTTAGAGTTTTCTATTTTTGTATCATAAATAACAATCCTCTGAACATCTTTGTGGGTAAAAGATTTTTATTGATTTCAGTTTGGTTTTTTTGAAAGGATGAATTTATAATATATTAAATCACCTCCATCAAAGATAAGGATCATCAACAGACATTTTTTCCCCTCTAAGTATATTACAGCCTCCCTTTCACATCAATAAGCAATAAATTTGGACTATGAACCAAGGAACCAGGGTCAATACTGTATTTTTACCTGCATACTACTGGCATTCCATAGATTTCTTTGATGATAATCGCTCCCCCTTTAATAACACCTCTACCCCATATAAGTTATGAAATTGAACCTTGAAAAAGAGATAACTGGAATAATTATGTAAGAAATGGCAGAAAGAGTGACATTTTCAGGTCTGGTGATTTTCAAGCCATAAACCTTATAATCTTACTCCAGCATTAAAATAAGGCTCAAGGGCCAGTTTTCAAAATTTTCTTGCACAATTTCCCCCTAGAAATGCCTAGACTTCCCTAAGCTACATTTGAAAACTTGCTAGTTCAAAACTAGAACTCAGCAGATGGACTCTCTTACCTGGCATACTAACCATTCTTGGGTGTTTCAAGGAAATTTCAGAATGCTAATTAAATCTTGCCATCCTCAGAAACAATTTGGTATCTTGAGGCAATTTTGGCCACCGGATTTCTGAGTGTATAGCCAACAGCTGTGCCCAAAATGGATAATTGTGCCTGGTTTAGTCCTCTCTGACATCACATATCACAGAGGAAAGCTGCCCCACATATTTTTTTTCAAGTAGGGTGGACAATTTATATACATGATTCAGATTCAAGAAATGGAAATGATAACAGACATACAAATGTTACATTGAAAACAAAAGACAGAAAACTTTCCAGCGGAGCTGAGAGCTATGCCTTCTGTGGTTGGTGGCAAGGAGCCATTCCTGCACCATCAGGAAGTGAAGGGAGGCAGCACAAGGCCTGTTACATCTGTTTGTCAAGTTCTGTAGGCCTTGCCAACTATCATGTAGTCTTTTTATGGAAACTAGATAAACAGCATGCGTCACTGTGGCTATTTCACTTTATCAGAGAAGTAGAAGGAAGAGTTCTATGAACTGTAGATAGGCTAGTGTATGAGTCTTTCCAAGCAGTTGTACAAAAAAACAAAAACAATTTGAATGTATTCAGTTATTTTGCTAACGATTACTTTTTTTAACCAAGTCAGACAGAAAAATATTCCTAAACATATAGATGTGCACCAGTTGTTCCCAGATTCATCCAAGTGGCTGTGACACCCTCCCTATCAGCACTTTAGGTTTGCAGTTTTCCAGGCTGAAGAGACTAAAGATCTTTGATTGTTCTATGCCCAACCCAGAGACACTGCTGAGAATTCCAGTCTCTCAAGGTTTAAAATGTCTTTATTCCTATGCAGTCTTGTGCTGAAAAAATCTAAAGGAGGGAGAGATGAGGGCAGAGGATTTATGTCCTGTCTACTTCACTTTCCCCTCATCTTTGCTTATCAACACTTGTTGATTGATGAGTTAATATCTTGGATTTATCTCTTTCCTGCACTCATTACATTTTGGTGGATCCTTACCCTCTTTCTCATCTCTTCTTTGTGACCTGAAATTACTTATTAGGACCCCTCCCTGGGGAGTCTGGGGTGCATATGGCATAATGTAGAACACACCAGTGCACCATTTATCTCTTTAGTGAGCTTATCTTACTGGTATATTTAATTTACAAGGCATTACCTGGATTAGGAAAAGTTTGTACAAGTCCACACACCCCCTCTTTTTTTATTTGTTTGTGCTCCTGACAAAGATTCCTGTGACTTCTGTTCATTTGTTCAATTGTCCCAGATGCTCACAAGGTTTAATTGTTGACCTTATAATGTAGTCAAGGGGCACAGTGATCACTGTGCAAGTGCCTAATTAAGGAAGGAGATAACTGAAGGGCAGAGATCACAGTGTAATAATGGAAAGAGAAAAAAATGGAAGTCAGAATGTCATAGAAACATCTGCATTCTTGTGCTCATCCAAGCACTATTTGCAGTCATCAAAATATGGAATCAATCTAACAACATAAACAAAAGAATGGATAAAAGAAATGGTATACACAATGGAATATTATTCTAGCTTTTTAAAAATGGAGAAAATCTGTCATTTGCAACAACATAGGTGACCCTGGAGAATACTACACTAAATAAAAATAAGCCAGGCACAGAAAGTCAAATACTGTATATCTCATAAGTAGAATCTAAAAAATGCTGAACTCCTAGAAGGAGAGGAGTGAATGGTGGTTACCAAAGACTGGAGTAGGGAGGAAGCTGGGGTTGATTTGGGAAGTTGATGGTCAAAAAATACAAAATTTCAGTAAAGCCTGAGGAATAGATTCAAGAGATCTGTTGAACATCATGAGGATTATAGTTGATAACAATGTATTATGTACTTGAAAACTGCTAGGAGAGTAAATTTTAAATATTCTCACCATACACAAAATATGTATGTGAAACAATGGATTAATTTGATTTAATCATTCTAATATATACATGTATATCAAAACATTGTGCTGTATATTCTCCTTTTCTCTCTCTCTCTATATGTATATACAGATAGGTAGATAGATAGATAGATAGATAGATAGATATACACAATTTTTATTTGTCAATTTTAAATTTTAAATTTAAGTTTAAAAATGGTGAAAGAGAAATGGCTTTGGAACTACTAATACCTGGGTCAGAATCTTGGCTATACCATTTACATGGACAACTCCTTTAACCTTGATAATGTCTTTTTTCTCATCTTTACAATATGCCAAATACTCATTGCAAAGAACTTCTGGAAATATTAAGCAGTGTATGTGAAATGAAAACTAGAGATGATCAGTCTCAAGGCCTATCTTTTTCTTTGTCCCTCAACTTTATTCCATCTACCCTCCTGGTCCTGCTTTTATCCTATATCTGATACATAGGTAAAATTCAAAATTCAATAAATATTCACTTAAATGAAATGTATGAAGATTCTGGTAAGTATATAATGCTTGTAAAATACATGGAATAAGACCCTCTTTGTGATCAGCCCAAAAGCTTCTTATTCATGGTTACTTCCTTAGGTTTCCCAAATTTCTCAGATAAATCGCAAGGGGCATACAGGTGAGAAGCATGTTATTAGTGTTTTTCATGTATGTCTTTATAACTCTGACTACCAAGTAGATACTTTCACTGAGTAGAATTATATACATTTTCTATTTCTAGGAAGAAGTTTCCCACATGATGCTTTCCTATGCTTGCAAAGAAAGCCTTAAATAGTGTGGACTCTGCTGACATCTCCATCTTATTTCCTGCCATCTCTCTTCCTTTCCAGTATTCCAAAGGTTTCTAAATTATATTTCAAGCAATTTAAAATACTGTTTCCTCTTCAGTGCCTTTAGATGCATCATCCCTTCTATTAAACTCATCTTTCCCTCACTCTACAATTGATTATCTCATCCTTTAGCATAATCTTACTTTCAGAGAACCTTACCAATATCACTTTTCCTCCTCTTATGTTTCTCTGAACTCTTTTTTGCTATTTACCATTGCTATCATATTTGTCATTGTATTGTCTATTGAGTTGGTTGCTGTCTGTCACTTGCTGTAGATCATCATCTCCACAAGACAACACCTCTTCTTTCCTCCGTTTAGAGTATTCCATAATATTTCATAATTCCCACCATAGAGCTTAAAAAGTATTTGCTGAAAGAATGAATGGAGCAATTTATGAATTCACATTAGATCCTCTTTGAGCAAAACTCCTCTAAGTAGGAAATGGTTGAGCATATTTCCTACAATCACTTTAAATGATTTGGTGAGCCTAAAATGATTTATTTTCCATCTTAAACTCTGTGTTGCACTCAACAAAGTTAGTTTTTTCTCATAAGAAAATACAGACAAACTTCTGATATGTATACAGAGGAAATATCAGAAGAAATGTCCTTTTAAGTAAGTAAACCACATATCTAATCAGCAGCACATGCAATTTTATGTGCTACTCCCAAACCCAGTATCATCATTTCAATGAGGATGCAACACAAACCTTTCTTTTCCTTCTTAGAATCTTTGTGATGCTGCAGGTACAGGTGCACTCCTTTAGTAAGCATAAGATGACTCATAAAGTATATGACATCATAGAAACTTTAACAGAAAATAAAAGGTAACTAGAGTACAATTGTTTGACTGGTGTTACTAGGTTACCCTCTAGTAATCTTTCCACTTATCTTGAGGCTTGGAGTTACCCTACCCTGATGTGTCTAGTCCTATATTGAGTCTGACCAAAAAAAAAAGTCAGTTATTCACAATAACAGGAAGCTAAGCAGTTAAAACACACACACACACACACACACACACACACACACACACACACAGAGTGATAGAAAGGAACAAAATTGTGAGGAAAGACAGTTTAGGTAGTTTTTCTGGCTTATTCATGTTCTTTTTCTCAGTATCTGACTGTATATAATTCTTGAAAAGATTTATCATACCAGTATAAAATATGCTACTTACATTAGTAACATTTTGAAATCTTAGGAACATAAATTTTCTCCATAAATGTTGTCTTTTAAAACATGGGAAAAGCCACCCCAAACACCACTGGCTTGGCAGAGCAGACCCCAGCCAGAAGACCACCCAGACAATAGTGGTGCAGTTACAAAGGCCCTGGTCAAAGGTATGCCTGGAAAACAGCTATGCAGCCACACAGGCCACAACCAGAAGCCTTCCTAGATGAGGGCCCAGCATGGGGATCCAGAAGGCCATCATCTGAACCCAAGTATTGGCCCAGTGGTGACCAGCAGTGAGAAGGCCTCTCTAAGGTTGTTGAGAATTGAAGCCTACTGGGAGAGCAAAGGGTCACCTCAATAAAGGTGCAGCAGACTGCTATGGTTGAAATGACACCTAAAAAATACTCAAAACCAGACTTCCAGTTCACCAAAGGCAACTCCAAGGGGCAACAAGGTGAAACAATCTGCAACTCAGACACCTGGACTCTGTGAACTGGCAATGAAAGAGGATCTGGAAAAACTAAAATCAGAAATAATTGCTCAGATAACAACAGAGATTGTGTCCATAATGAAAGACATGATTAATAATGCTAGAGCAGACACAGATTTAAAAAAAAAAAAAAAGAGCTGAAAAACATGATGGAATCCTACCATAGGAAACCAACAGAACCCATAAAAAAATGCAACAGATATCCATGAGATCATTGAATGTTTATGCAGCAGAATAAGCCAAAGTGCGGACAGAATATCAGATATAGAAAAAAGAATTGTGATTAGTGACCAGGAAAAGAAATATTTCTTAAAAATAGCAAGGGACCATGAGAAATCAACCCAGCAACTGAAAGATGATGCAAAGAAGAATAACATAAGACAGATCAGAGTCAATGAAGAAACAGGAGAGAGTGCAAATGACATTAAAAAAAGTTGTTCACAGAAGTAATGGCAGAAAACTTCCCAAGCAGGGGAAAATAATGTGATATACAGATAATTGAGGCATAAGAGACTCCAACTAGACAGGATTAAAAAAAAATCTACACCTAGGCATATAATAGTCAAGATTCCAGAAACCCAACAGAAGAACAAAATACTACAAGTAGAGAAAAGAAACAAATCACATACACAGGAAACCCCATCAGAATCACAACGGACTTCTCAACACAAACCCTCAAGTCAAGAAGAGGCTAGAATGAAGTATTTCAAGCCCTAAGA